TATGATTGAATACATGACCACGCAAGTATACGGACGACAAATAAACAGACTCATCAAGATTCAATCATCCAAATACCTACAGAGACATCACAAACTACCCATCAAAATTACACAAAGATGGAAAATCAATATAGAAATATATAAACTACACACACACACACACACACACACACACACACACACACACACACACACACACACACACACAAACACACACACACAACTAAACAAATACCTATATATATATATATATATATATATATATATATATATATATATATATTATTTATTTTAAGTACTGGCCAGTGAAAGATTAATCTGATTTCAAAATGCAGATTACTTTTTATAAAAAAAAAAGAGAGACTTGTTGTCTTTGCCATGGCTAACCAATCGAATGTGATCTACGAAAAATTCAAATTCACCGGAAATAAATATGTAGCGCTACTACGTATTAAGCCCTCTTTTAAATTAAAGATTACAAACAGTGGAATCAATTTTAGTGTGATCGTGGTAAGCGCAGTGACCAATGATCTGAAAGTCTGTCGAATGTTCTTCGGAACCAGTTTCGTGTCACCCATGCACGTTGCTAGGGTGTGTTATCTTTCTGAGTAAAGCATTCCCCACGAAGAAACACGTCAAGCATAAAATGGTTCAAATAGTCTGAATCAAATTCTGTATATGTCCTGTCTGTCAATACATACTTCAGTTTTACTAATGGTCTTGCTTTACTGACACAACCAACACCATTATAAACTAGCATAACACATTGCTGACGAGTTGTTTTTATAGCCTCATGCGGTATCCTCCACATACGAATTCCGCCATCCACGTGAAAGAGCAAGAAATATGTTTCATCTGACGAGGCAACATGGCTCCAATAGCGAACTTCTCTACTCAGATGCCATGGTGTTAATAATATTACATAATAATAATGTTACACCTGGTCGACAACTATGATATTCCAGTGGATGGGGGGCGTGTGCTGTACAGTTCGTTGACTGATTGAGTAACACTAGTGTTAAATTGGAATGTGATTTGATAAAATGTTACTATTAGCTTTCTGACCATGAGATCCAGGTTCAAATCTCACCATGGTCGATTTGTCAGGAAAATGACTTCTTTATGTTATCGTTCTAGAGGAGGCGATCCCAAAGTGCGGTGCCTTTGGAAAGTGGCTGAAAACCATACAACAGGTTGACCCAAGCGTTGTGAGTGAAATTGGGTAGACGAAACCCTTGGGAACCGTCGATGCTAGCATGAAATCACAAGTCATCGTGACCGAGGGTTTCAGCCTGCTGGCCTTGTTCAGATTGTTGATCACGCTAGATAACGCGCACTCTTCCAGAAACTGTAACTAAGGTCCGCTCAGCATGCGGTATAAACCACAGGTAGACTCGGTGGGTGTCGAACAAACACAAATGTGCCTGAGCTGGCGTCTGCAATGGGGATTAGCTAACCGCCCTAGTAGACTGGTATCCTTGGATACAAGTGGCTGAACCATTTTTACTATACGTAAATTTGTTATCAGTCACGCCCTATAGGTGGTGACCTATAGGCAAGCGCAGTTTTCACCTACTGCTATCTGCCTGGAATTTAAATATTCTTGATATATTCTTGTTACTGATAAAAAAAAACTAGAGAAGTTATCATTTAGGATATGAGGTTTCATTTCTCTGTCCTCAACACTCATTCCACAATAAACGGTGTTTAACCTTGCTTAATTCCTATGCATGATACAGCTACACTATCGCAGAAACACGACTTTCTTGTTGCATCACACATACTTCATCTGAATGATTCTATTTCTACAATTGTTCTTTTATCTTTTTTTTGTGTGTGTGTAATTCGGTCTCTATAATTATTGACATGCACGCGAATATGTAGCCTGTCGCAGTTACTGTTGCTAAATTATGATTTGTAAATTTCTTTATATAATATTCCTTCTATTTGATTACTGGTGAGGCGGAGAAGTATCCGGTTAAGTGAAGTTACTAAGAAAGGGACCATTCATTTTATAAACAAGGCAAGGGAAAACGTAAATAGATAAAAAGGCGAAGACGGCAGAATGTTTGACAGAGGGGAGGTATTGGCAACCTCTTGTCTTTAATGAATAAAAGAATGGAAATAAAGAAACAAAAAATTAATAAAATGGTTGTGGAGGATACAGACCAGTTATAGAAGCCTTTGTTTTGTAAGTTTGTAGCACAAACATATATATATATATATATATATATATATATATATATATATATATATATATATATATATATATATATAAATATATATATATATATGGATATAGATCCGACAGTATGAAGAAAATATACTGAAAAAAACAAACAAAATCCTAATATGCGATTATGCTGTTTTAATGTTTAATGTCAACGTCGGACGTTTCGGTCTAATTGTATATGGTCTATGTTAATTATGTTTTATGAATATGTCCTGAAGATGTTCTATTAGACCGAAACGTCCGACGTTGACATTAAACATTAAGACAGCATAATCGCATACTATGATTTTTGTTTGTTTTTTTTTCCTATATTTTCTTCATATATATATATATATATATATATATATATATATATATATATATATATAGAGAGAGAGAGAGAGAGAGAGAGAGAGAAGAGAACAAGAGAAAAAAAAGCAAGCAATATATATATATGTCGGAGTTAGCTCCACTTAATTCCCTAATTGTTCACTAGGGGTAGCTCTCCGTACACTATAAATACTGGGAAATTTATTGCCTTGTTCTCTTTTTACTTTGCATTTCAGCGGACACATCCGCGTTTTTGCCCACTTGTGGGAAAACGCCATTAAACACACGTACACGTGCGTACGAATATTCGCCAAAATACAAACTCTTACGTTCACACACAAACATAAAAGTAGATGTCTTTGTCACTTGTAAGTTTGTTGTTAAATACATATATTTGTTGACATATATATATCGGTCTTGTTTTTATTTTCTTTACATCTTCGGTTGGACTGAACTTGAGTCCGCCATATTCTTGTAGTTGGACCTTCTAGCAGGAAATAAACAGCACGTGTCTCTAATTCAACAACACTCAAACCCACACGGTCCTCTCTCTCTCTCTCTCTCTCTCTCTATATATATATATATATATATATATATATACACACGTTTCATTAAATAATATAGACAAGTGTTGTCTATTTATTTTATGTAAATTTTTTTCGTAACGTCTGATAAATTTAATAACATTATCGTTGAACGAAGAAAGAAATTCACAATATTGATCCATATTTTTTAAATACAATCTAAGCTTTCTGCTATGCTACCTAAATACATAATATATATATATATATATATATATATATATATATATATATATATATATATCTTGCAAGATATATATGTATATCTTGCTTTCTTTTTTTTTTCTCCTGTTCTCTTCACTTTTCTCCGCCTTTTTCTTCTTCCTCCTACTTACCCCCTCCTTTCTATGAAACACAACGTTATGCGTTTGACCGTCATGCGTTTGTTTATTTATTTATTTTTGAAAAATAATTATGTAGCGTAATCAGAGCTTTTTTTTTTTTTTATATAAATAAAGCGTTGTATGATAGAATTAGCCCGATGAATCCATGAGGTCAAAACCAAGGTCACGTATTTAATCTGGCTTCCTATTTTTTTAAATTTTAAAGCTCGACATGTTATTTTTATTTTATTTTTTTTCACGCGAGTATTGAGCACTTTTTAATACTTATATATATAATATATATATATATATATAAAAATGAAAGTCACTTAAAATGGGAACAACAATAAAAATGAAAAGTATGGAATATACAAAGGAAAGGAGCAGTTGTTATGCTCTTTCCGAACTCCCTTGATTAAATCACGAGTTCTGACTCCACTTAGTCACAATTCTTTCCCGCCGCATACACGTTGGAACCGGAAGGCGGGAGAATTCTTCTTTCCAGTTCCAGACTTCAGGGTCATGACCTTGTTTACTCATACCCATTCTCGGAAATATACCAGACCTAACTAAAAAGGAATGGGTAAAAATTTGAGTATGTATTCAAAATCATAAAGAAAAGAATGATTATTCTTTATTAAATGTAAAGCAGAACAAAACAAAACATTATCGTCAATTCATTCTCATCTTTCATATCTGTTGAGGTATGTTAAGAATGGACCATTTGTAGATGTCTGTTTATTAACATGACCACACGATTTATATTTAACGTCAAATATTACAAAATATGAAACAGCAAGATGGAATAAAAACGGTTTTATAACAACAAACATTTATATTTATTTTTGTGTAATGATATACATGCGTAGAAGTTAATATTTTGTTGGTGTTATGTCCCTTTGATTGATTTAATTTTTCATCTGAGCTCACAAAAATTGAATAATTTATAAAGCTGAGAAATGCCGAATAAACTGTAGCTTTAGAAAAGTATTTCAAAGAAAAAAGTTCTCGTTGCTTGTTTGGAAATACTTTGCAATGTAGTTTGGAAAATTTCGTACGTACGTGCATGCGTGAATATGCTTTTAACGTCTGACCGCCCATGATCAAGAAGAGAATCCTTTTACGAGAAGAGAGAGAAATCCTTTAGCGAGAAGAGAGAGAAAGCAGCGAGCTCGTGTCTGCTATTTATAATTAATGTAATCACGTGACAGGCTCACAGAAAATTGGCGAGGAAACTTGACTTGGTCACGCGCTGGAAAAATATATGTACGTGGGAGGATTTCAACGCCCACTTGTGTGTTTATTGACCAATTAGAATCTGATATTTCCTGAAGATATTTACTGAGTAGGCTCTCTGATCCACTTTTTGCACAAAATTGTACAAAATTCAACATTGATAAGAAAGTGGTAGAGGGATGCTAAATATTACATTTATAAACTTAATTTTGTGCAAAGATATTTTGTGATGACAAATCTTCATTCATCACACTTTAATGATTGACTTTTTGTTCAAATATTTGATGTTTCATGATTTGCTTTTTGTTTTCTTTTTAGTGCCATAGACTGGGAATTCTTTACAATTGGCGAACAAAAATATTTAGTCGTATCGAATGCACAGAACACGGAGGATTCAAGGGAACATGACAGCGTGATCTATCGATGGCAAGGAGTCGATCAATTTGTCCCGGTACATCGAATGAAGTTGTTACCAACAGCCGACTTCGAAGCTTTTAAAATCGGACAGGATATTTATTTGCTCTATGCAAATCCCAAATCCAATGTTTCTCAAATACTAAAAGCAAAGTTCATATGAAGGTTGAATAGTGAATATGGCATCACTTCCGGTTTGTACAAAAAGAGACCTAAAATGCAAAAGAAAATGGCAAATATATCAACAATGCTGAGATCGCTAAAAAAAAAAAAACAGTGATACATAAACTTTTAGAAGATATATTTGATTATAACTGATATCTTAAACAGTGATGGAAAATAAACCTGGACATCAGAAAGTGTCAATTAAAAGTAAAACCAAACCTAATTCTCCTTTTCATTTGTTCATCCATTTTCAAAAAATTAAAAATAAACATTAAAAATCCCAACAATAATTTCAAAACAATTTAATGTGTTTTTTATTATCTTGTTTCGTTATTTTATTCGTACAATTAAGTAATGGGAAACACGTAAAAAAAAAAAAAAAAAAAAAGAAAGGGAAATAACTTTTTATGGGCGGCATATAAGGGAGATAATCTAAGTATTTCTTAGAGCAAAAATATTTTTTCTTAGAGTTTATTTTGAAATTTTTGGTCTTACCGTCACGTCATCAGTTTTTTTCTCATTTCCTAGTAATGAAAAATGTTGACTGGTATGTTATCTTATATTTTAAAGTAAGATGCTTTCATTATTAAATCTATTTTTTCCGACTACTTTCGTCCTATTTCGTCAGTAATTCGATAGATACAGAATTTTTATTACCGCAAATGTTTGTTGGTCGCTTCGTATTTAATTTTTATCTTCCTTTTTATTTTAACGAAAACATCAATCAATCGGAATTACAAGTACTCGTGTATTGTACTCATAGCGAGAACAAATCGTTGTTAAAAACAGTACGTCATTGAATAATGAATGTCATACTTTTAGGCAGTATTTAAAAGTATTTTCGTGAAGAAAATACTTTTTTAATTAAATAGTGCCTACTTAAAATATTCTTCCATTCTCCGTTCGTAAAAAAGCATTTAAAAATATTTGTTGAAGTTAAATTTCGGTTTTTATTTAAAGTCTAAAGTTAATCCGTAAAAAAGAAAAATAGTTTTACGTCTTTAAAAAAAAAAAGATTATAGACATTTTTAAAATAAAAAATAAAATCAAACTCACTTCTACCGAGTCCGATTAGCTGATTTCATAGATACAGACAAAAAAGGAATTAAAATACTTTTAAAGTTTCGTAAAAATGTAGTATATGTCCCATTTGTTTAAAAGAAAAATAGTAAATTTTGTCTTGGTAAACTAGATTTTATAAAAATATTACTTAGAGTTTTATTCCTTGTTTCCTGCTTAGAATTGGGTTTCCAGTTAAAGTCTTCATTCTCTAATATTATCGACTTGTTTGGGGGTGAATTAAAAAGAAATTCCTTTTCGTTACTAATGTATAAATATAATAAAACATTTGTGACGCTTCTAAACAATATACACATTTTAATTTATAGGACTATACTCTCAGATTTAAAAGAAGGAAAAAAAAAAGAAATTTGAATGAAATTTTTATCACTTATTCATTAAAGAATTATTTTTATTAGTGAAAATTATTATTAGAAAACATTATGGAAATATTATGTGCCGCATGCCTTCAGGATATAGACAATCATGGCTCTCCGAAATTTGCGATTCCTTGTGACCCTTAGCAGTTTTTCTACTTTTGCTAAGGTTCCATGACCCCGTTACGCCATCACACAAGCTTGTCAAATAGGTGACTCGCTGCCTTTCTCCTGTCTCTTTTATCATTCTGTTGGGGGTTAAGTTTTTCAATCCGTCTTTCCTCATAATGCATCCATGGAATTTCAGCTGTCTCTTCCAGATTCTAAGCGTTCTTTTTGTTGCCATACAACTCCTCAACTTATTCTATGGTCTCCAAGTAATTTCTTTATCTTTGCTGGATTTCTAACAATGTTATAATGACAACAAAAACTTTATTAAACAGACAAAATATTATTAACATGTGTAGATTAGAGAAAACGTTCAATAATTTTTGGTGGTCCTGCAGAGGCTCATTTTGTCTCTTAAATTGCTACACTTCCGTCAGTCTGTATCTCTGCATACGGGACATATTTTTGATTTTCCATAGAATTAAAAAATCAAACAAATAAAAAGAACAAAAATAAAATAAAACAAATCATTTAAAAAAAAAATCCATTCGAATTTGCATTAAATTTTACATTTTTAAATTTTTCAAAATTTTTTATTTTATATCAAGTTTTTTTTGCAAAGACCAAGATCTGAAATTTTAAAAATTGTACTGTAAAAATACGTGCAAATTTTTCGTAAACAAATATACATCAAATTTTTTCCTGTTGAAGCAGAACAAATATATTGCATGTTTTATTAAAATTGTGTATTAACAACTCTCCACAAAGAAATAATTTTTGAGTTTACTTTTAAGATTTCAAGTCATATTTTCAATGTCTCTGTGTTAGATATTAAATATGCTTAATTCGAGGATTTAGCTTTATAAAGATGTAAAAATTAGGAACATTTAAAATTCACTAGTATAGATTAGCAACAAATTGTTGTATAATTCATCTGAAAAAATACTTCCAATAAACTTTAAAAAAAATTCGGAATGAAGTTAATTCATTTCATTTAAAGACTTTTTGGTAATTTTTAAGACAGTGGATATCGTTTCTTTTTACGTGCCGAAAGTTCGCATGATTTTGGTGATACCTACATTAGCTTAGCAGTTTAGCGAATAAATAAATGTGTGTGTTCTGTATTCGATAATTCTCTGACCGAAAGGAAAGTTTAGTTGCTAAGAAAAAAAAAACAAAAAACAAACGAATGACAATTTCTGTCTGCATTTCTAGGGTGAGAAGATTTACACTCGGAATATTGTCCTCACCTTTGTTATTCTCTCTCAGTGTCCCGACCACTGTTCCCTTCTGGCCTTCTTAAAGTGCTTGTCGATCCGATTAACCTAAATGGAATTTCTAACTGAACTCTTTTTATTTAACCAACGAAAGTACATTGCTGTCGTCGTTTCACTGTCCACTGAGTCGGTCGGTACTAAAAGAAACATTTTCAACACTCAAACGCGCATTGAGTAACGAACCTCCACATCAAACACATTTCCCGCTTTAAATACGCTTAAATCTAGAAAATGTAACTTTTGAAATCAGAGCTTCTTAAAATAAGTTTCAAGTAAGGGCTACTGTGGGTCACCGACAAACTCGAAATTCTTTTCATAAATAAATTAGTTAAAGAATAGAATGCTTCTGTTGCTTAAATATTCGAAAATGTCTCGATGCGATTCAGTATTTTAAAAATAAATAAATTTCTTGTTATTTTATTTTGAAAATTCATATTTTTTAAAAAAATAAATACTGTAAAAGTTTTCGGATAATAAATACTGGGTATTTTTTTATGACAAATGACGTCAGTCATTATTTATTTTCTGCAACTGTGTCAGTGTTCAGCCAGGACTTTTGTTAAAATGTCTCCTTTTTTCAACTTTTAATAAAAGACTTGTTTGGGGATAATATTAATTTCTTTCTTTGTTCCGTTACCAATAGATTTTGACTAAAAACTAATTTATAGGTTTAGTACCTATTGTTTGATAACAATCGTAAATAGTGAGATGTCTTATAACAATAACATATGACGGCTCCAGAATTAGCTTTATACGTCTTCTTGTGGCATTGTTTTTCTGATGAGCAAAGCTTCGTTGGTTTAACATGCTGTAAGGGAAGTAACGTGGATAAAATCATTCAGATTTGTTTATAGAAAAATTACTGAAAGTGAATTATAATGCAAAATTCAAGCAATAACCAAAATTTTAATTATTACTGTTTTATTTTTTTAAATAATTTTTGTTGTTTTAAATGACATTCATAAAATATAAACAAGTCTGTATATTAAACTAAAGGTACAAACGAAAAACCTTTCCCAGGTAATGGACGCTGTGGTTGAATATTTCAGAGTTCTTCATGAGAATCGAGGAAGTTATGGAATAAAAAGAGAAATCATAACAGGGGGTTGAAAAAGAGGAAAACAATGAGTTGCGGTGATGAATGACATCAGTCGTTTTTATTGATCGGGCTTGATTGGTTTCCATCTTTTCAAACTAATTTAAGCGACATTCGAACAAAATATATTTGAAAACGTTCCACTCAAAAGCAAAAAATTAGACTAACACTGAAAGTTGAATCATTGTAATAGTTGTTTTTAGAGTAAATTATAAATTTATATAGCATTATTAAATGTTTAAATGCTTGTCATCTGCACTTCAGATGTAAAGCGTATTTTGGACCCAAGAAGTTTCCTTTGTAAGAAAAAGAAGAAAAAATAAAAACATAAATAAAAGAAGGACAACAAATTAGAAATACTTTTATTTAATTTATCTGAAATGCACATAGCTGGCTTTATATTTCGTTACTTGATTCTTCTAACGTCAATTTTCTTTATGTAAATTGCAGTTTAAAAACATCCCGGGACTTTTAAAATATATTAAACTTATCATTTTTATAGCCTTTCAGTTTATTTTACATTTGTTCCGTGTTTAATGAATAAAAAAAATCACAAAATTCCTTCATGAAACAAAATTGAATAAAATATAAACTCAATTTAGTTTCTTTAAAAGCAGACGTAAGGGATACATTACTATACTTCAATATTGTTTTTTTTATTATTATTATTCTGAAAATTGATTGCAATGCGTGTGTGTGTCTCTGGAGAAAAGCAAAGAAAATGACGAACAGTGCATCAAAGGCGACGTTATTTTTATTTTGTTTCTTAACGCGTTTTAAAATCAATGTCATTTTTTAAATTAATAGCAATAAATCTTTAGGATATTTCTCTTACATTTTATTTAAAAATATATATTGTTAAACTTAATAGAGAAATAGTAAATTAGGAGGATGAAATTATTATGAATATGAATTTATTTTTCAAAGTAGAGTTTTCTGGTTGCCACGTCTGAACAGCAAATATCCGCATCACTTTTCTCAGTTGAATTAATATTAGTTCACTGACATTGAATTATTAAAATTAAACATACACATTGTGCATCATCATCATCATCATATTATTATCATCATTATTATCATC